TTGCAGTAGGGCATGTTAGCCATCTATACTACGAAGTGCTTTTGTTTGTTTATATTTCTGTGTCTGGCAATCAACTGGACTCTCAGCTTGAACTTAAAGAGCCTTTAAAGATAGTACCCACATTTTTCTGTGATGACATTTTTTTTGTAAATTATATTTATTTCCCCGATTTTTTTTTGCATTTACGAAATTTTTTTTATCAACTATCGATATATTTTATAACTTGTTTACCAGTAGAAAGAAAACAACACAAGAGCCCTCTAATAACAAAAACAAGAATAAGCATAGTAAAATCTTCTGTCACTTTACCACAAAATGGCAGTGTGTGGAGGGTAGAGATACTTTCAGAGTTCTAACTGCAAGGAACTCTGGGAGGGAGCAAATACATCGTTTAATTTTTTCAGTCTTAAGCATACCGGTAAATATAAGTCTTCTCAGGCATGCCTGGGCTGATTTTCATTCAAACTTTATATTGACATCATTCTTGGTGTAAAAAAAGCCCACATAATAAAGTATGAATAAGAACGTTAGCAATAACATAAATTTACAAAAAATAAACTGTGCAAAATCATTTTTGCCTCTACAACAAAAAATCTTACATGAAAATGTTAATACAGTTAGTACAATCGGAGAAGATGAACCTGTCTTTGACTATTGTGTTTATATGTTGTCTGTTTCATGTACTACTATATTAAATTCAAAATAAACATCACAAACTTTTAACAAGCTCATATACATTTTATTGACACATCTTTGTAACTTTGTAGTTGGAATCTTTATTGACATCATATCCTTAATGGGATTAGACCAAAGACTATAGAGAAGACTCTAGTCTTTGATTAGACCTCAGACTTGTATTACTAGTCTGAGATTAGACCAACCTGATTAATATCTGATTTAGTGTATTTTTTTATTTATTTTTCTATTAAATTTAATAAATTATCATTTATTTTGTTTGAATTAATAGGTATTTTTATTGTTTTTTTTATAATTTTTTATGTGGTTTTAACATTTTGTCATTTTGACACTCTACCTTGGTAACAAACAAAATAATAATTTAATGAAATAAAAAAAAAATAATAATAATAAAAAAGGCCAGTATCAACACATCAAGAGTTATCAGTAAAAGGTACATTTTTTTACAATGTGTGTGTGTGGGAGAAGGGTGGGAGGTTCCCCCATGACTCAATATATTTTTGAGGCATACCCCAAAATATCTTTAAAATTTCTAAAAAATTATCCAAATCTTGAATTTCTGGATATGTTTAAATAATAAACTCAGTACAAGGATTTGTTGTATCAGTTACCACTGTTTGTCTGTACTTTATTTCCCTTAGTCAAACTTGCAAGTATGACAACATTAATAATGTAAATACAGTACATGGATAAATGTATGAGAAAAGAAAACCTTTGGTAGAGTTTTAAAATTACATACAACATGAATCTGTTGGTGAGTCCATGCGTGCAGTGAACATACTGTTGACATTGAAAGGCCAGTGAGAGTAGGGCTATTAAAAAAAAAGGATTCTCTTAAGACTTGACCCTTGTGGTTGTAAATATATCTCTAACTGGTACGCCACCCACTGTGTCTAATATTT